TCTGACAAGTTTGAACCATTTCTGGATCTTCCTCTGGACGTTGAAGTAATTCAAGCTTCAGATTCTGTGTCATTTCTGACTTGCTCCGTGTTTCTGCTGATGTATAAATGTGTCAGATTTGATCAGAGCTCCTTTAACAGAAGCAAATGTTTCTCTGCATGTAGAGAGCTTCCAGTGTGTCTTCTTCTCTGGAGCAGTTTGTGATGCCTGAAGAGCTGGAGGACTACAGGTGCTCCAAGTAAGCCTCCAAAAAACCCACACCTGAACCAGTCGTTTACATTCCTGTATTTCTCTGTCACTAAGCCAAGTCCTTGTTTGAATTTGTTGTTTTTCAGTTGCAAAGAAAAAGACTCAGCCTTGAAGACAGTCACAGTAGACAGCCTGCCCAACGTGCTGACCCTGCCGCTGAAAAGATTTGATTGTAATGGAGATAAAGTCTCAAAGGTACTGTCACACACATCACAGAATGTAAGATTTGTTTTATAGACTTGTAAAAACTGTAATGTGGGAACTATTCAATGGACTGATGAAGTGTTTTGTGTTCTCCAGCATGTGAACTTCCCTGAAAACATCAACATGCGGCCGTTCACATCAGAACCTGCAGGCGACCCACAAACCTACAGCCTGTACGCCGTGCTGGTCCACTCTGGGTCCAAGAGCTCTGAAGGCCACTATTTCTGTTATGTCAAGGTACTGCAACACACTAAACTGATCTATTATATTAGTGCTGGTTATTAGAATATTAGATTACTAGATTACAAGTGAGTGCAGCTGAGATGAAGTAAACATTGTGACAGACAGAAGGTGTTCACAGACTTACCTGCAAACATTCAGAGCAATAAAATGTCAACAAAAACAAAGTCATAGGATCAGGTTTGGATCTGATTTACACGTGAACAGATTTCAGTCAGCTGCTGTTTATGCTTCACCTTTCAGAGTTTTTGTTGTATTTCTCACCTCAAAAGAAAGCGTGACTCTAAAGTGTGTGTGGTGTGTCGCAGGCGAGCAGCGGTCAGTGGTACAAGATGGACGACTCCTCTGTGTCTGTGAGGAGCATCAGGCATGTCCTGAAGCGAAAGGCCTACGTTCTGTTCTACATCAGGTGAGTCAGGCAGCGTTCAGCAGCTCATTTATGTTACAGACTGAATCAGTTACTGTCAACTGAGAGCTTTTGTATTGAATAGCTTAAAAAAGATATTTGAACACACCAGAACAAGTTCAGAGATGTTTTCATGGCCACATTCTTAGCAATTTATTTTTACATTTTATTAGTTTCCAAGTTTGATCAATTTATTTATCTATGTCCTTCCTGTTTTTTTGTCCTCCCCTTCTAGATCTGACCTGAAGTCAGACAGTGCCACGAAAACAGAACCAGTAAAGAAAAAGAAAAAGAAGAAGAGGAAGAGGAGTGAGAACGAAGAACATCCTCTGGTGATTTATTACAAACAGCTGATGGCTGAGAGTATGAGGGAGATAAGAAAGAGACACTGTGGCTCTGATGTGGAGGACTCAGAACTGGACTTTCC